CCGGTAGGCTGCTGCCTGGCTGACTGACAGCAGCCTGCTGGAGCCCCAAGCCTAGAAGAAAGCTGATGGGTCCTGTGTCTGTGACATTTTACATATTTCCAACAAATAATGCATCTTCTTGCAGAAATGCAGTTTGCCCTTTTCTGTCTATGCAAGGTTATCTTAGAAAGTTTCCCAAAAAAGGAAAACTGCACTTCACCAAGGCTCAGAGCATTTGTTCCTGCACTCCCTAGGGCAGGTGCCGTGGTGCTGATACATGCTGAAGATTTCACAGTAACTTGTGCATTGTCTGTTGAGTGTCATTTTAAAATGTCTCTAAAATCTATTCTGCATGGAAAATCACACATTCTGATAGTGCCCATTTCCTTGCTATGGGCAGTTTGGCAAATACCAGATATGTGGATCTAAGTTTCCATTCCAGGTCTAATAATAAAAATAATCTCATTCATATTGAAAAGTCTTATTAATAAAACAGTTAATTTTTTTTTCCAAATTCTTTCTCATAACAGCTTCTGTTGTGCAGAATTGTACTTACACACCCAATGTTACTTTCTCTCCTAAGGTTGACTCTTCAGTCTTTCTTAGGAATGGTGGTGTGGCAAAGAGGGAGCCTACTACGAGTTACCAGCATCCTCAAGTCTTTGACTTGAGTATTAGTAGGGATTTCTTCCTACTTGATCTTGGGTTTGCTTGGGTGTATTTTTATCTATTCCCTTATCACAGTCTACTTCCCTTTCACTGATTCCCAACTGAAGTTTCAAAGATGCAGAGTAGCTTCCCCTGCCTCAGTTATCATGACAGGTAATTCTTTATTGTGCAGTGACCCTGAAGGCTTGTCAGACCTTTACCATATATGGTATTCACAAAGCTTAAACTAGGTTAGGTAATAGCTGTTTGACTACTACACAGTTACTAAAACAAAATAAAACCACTTCAGGCCCAGACAAGCCCTAAGACCATGCACTATCAGGTCAATACAAACCCTCAAGCCTTTTGCTATTAATGGAAAAAAGTAATATTTACGGCTCTACAATAATATAGATTCTAAGGACCTGAAGCATCTTAGCATAGATAGAGAATGGTCAGATATTCAGAAGGAGGAGTGAAAAGAAGATAAACTGACAGACTGACTAAACAAGGACTATCAGAAAACAGAGTTAGGCTGGTCTCTGTCAAGGAGAATGAGTGCAGAGAATAAAATAGAGTGAAAGAAATCTGAAGTCTCCTGGGGAACCATAGGAAGTCTTCTAACAAATCATGGGAAGGAAGAGCTAGGCTGGCATCCCTGGTAAGTGTTAGATGGATTTATTGAGCTTGTGGCTGAAAAGTGATCAGCTCCAAAAAAGCTCACTCTCGTCACTCCTTCAGATAGCAATGAGAGAGACATCTGGGGTTTCTACTTTCTCATCCTCACTACTGACAGCAGGACAACCTCAAAATTACTGGTGTGTTGATGTGTTTGCATCTTGGAGACAGATAATTAAACATTCATTTTCATGATTCTGTCTTAGACATACAGACATGGAGCTCCCAGCTGGAAGTTTCCTGCAGAGTGAGCAAAGCTCACTGGAAGCTCACTTTGCTCTTTGGAAGAAAAGACCATGCTATGACAGTGGTTTCTACACACACTGACTTGAGGGACCGCTGTCAATCTTCAGCATTTCCCAGGAAACTTCAAGAGCTCCAATAGCAGGCTCTCCTTTGAAAGCTTTGTAGATGAATAGAGCCAGAGTTTTTGAAGACCACTGACCTCAGGCATAGCCATGGTCTGTGTTCTGTGCCTGACCAAGAAGGTGATAGCTTCCCCCGCATTGTCCTTTGCTTTACAATGCAGCTCCAAGGCAACCACAGTCAGAGCTAGCGCTCACATTTTTTTTTAATTTGCCTTTTAGACAAGACCTAAACTAGGCATTAGGAAACCAGAGAGCAAGCTACGGAGACCATAAACTGTAAACTCATGAAAGCAAGCCAGAATTCTCCATATCCTTCCCATGTATGTGTGTGTAAATCAAATGAAACTAACTGAAGCCAAGATATTCAAAACCATATGTTTACCCCTCTGCTCCTGACTGGTAGCCTCACCGAAAGTGACTTGGATGAGAGGATCTGCTCCCATGCCCCAAATGGATTTGTCCTCTGCTGGCAGTAGATAAGCTTGTAAGAATAAAGAAATCAAGCATGCTGTTACTCTCAAGTGCCCCCTGAAACTCTGTCTTTCTATACATCTTCGAGCCTTTGCACCTTGGACAGGGTTTGTATGTAGTTGATAAACTGGTAGCTTTTTTCTCCATGAACATGTCCAAGTTTTTTTGAATCCACGTAATCCTTAAGTTTGCAGGAACTGCACCGCCTCACTGCATTTGTTGGGAAGAACCCATGTGGCTCTGTGGTTTTAATACCTTGCCTTTGGGTAGTTTCATTTGATTTACACACACACACACTCTCACAAACGCGCACACACACTATCCTCCACCTTCTACCCTCTGTTCAATGTGGAAAGAACCACAATGAACAATTGGACTCTCTCATCAGGAAAGAAAGATTTCCCCAGTGCAGGTTTCAGAGGGTAGTGTGCCAGAAACTCAGCTTTTGTGGACGCGGATCTCATTTACAGGACTGTATAAGTTTCAATAAGGCCAAATGCCGGGTCTTACACTTTGGCCACAACAAACCTTGCCAACACTACAGGCTTGGGGAGCAGTGGCTGGAAAGATGCTCAGCAGGGAGGGACCTGGGGGTGTTTGATAGCTAGCTGAACATTAGCCAGCAGTGTGCCCAGGTGGCCAAGAAGGCCAATGGCATCCTGGCCTGCATCAGAACTAGTGTAGCCAGTAAGACCAAGGAGGTGATTTTACCCCTGAACTCGGCACTGGTGAGGCCGCATCTTGAGTACTGTGTTCAGGTTTGGGCCCCTCACCACAAGATAGATATTGAGGCGCTGAAGCGTGTTCCGAGAAGGGCAATGGAGCTGGTGAGGGGTCTGGAGCACAAGTCTTATGAGGAGCGTCTGAGGGAACTGCGGTTGTTTAGCCTGGAGAAAAGGAGGCTGAGGGGAGACCTTATCACTCTCTACAACTATCTGAAAGGAGGTTGCAGAGAGGTGGGAATCGACCTGTTCTGTCAAGTGACAGCTCATAGAACAAGAGGAAATGGCTTCAAGTTGCACCAAGGGAAGTTTGGATATTAGGAAGAATTTCTTTACTGAAAGGGTCATCAGGCATTGGCATGCATTACCCAGGGCAGTGGTGGAGTCCCGATCCCTGGAGGAATTTAAGGGTCATGTAGATATAGTGCTCAGGGACATGGTTTAGTGGTGGGGTTCTCAATGTTAGGTTAATGATTAGACTAGATCATCTTACAGGTCTTTTCCAATCTAGGAGATTCTGTGATTCTGTGAAAGGAGTCATCACAGAACTGTCACCAGCTTTCTTCAGAGTCCAAGGGGAGGTAATACTCTTCACGGTCTCCCTATCTAAATAAATTCATGAAGCAAATCCAGTGCCAACTAAAGACCACCTTCTTTGAGCTTCCCCAAAACACATAAACTCAGCTGGTTGTCAGCCCTCCACAAATCTGCCTTGGACAGTGGCCAGCAAAAGGAGCACCTCACACCTGATATGCTGCACAACTGGAAAGTGCTGAGGTGTTTTATGGGTAAATCATAGAATCACAGAATAGTTGAGGTTGGAAGGGACCTTAAAGATCCCCTAGTTCTAACCCTCCTGCCATGGGCAGGGACACCTTCCATTAGACCAGGTTGCTCAAAGCCCCATCCAACCTGGCCTTGAACACCTCCAGGGATGGGGCCTCCAAAACTTCCCTGAGCAACCTGTTCCAGTGCCTCACAAACCTCAGAGTGAAAAATGCCTTCCTAATATCTATTCTAAATCTCTCCTCTTCCAGTTTGAATCCAGAACCCCTCATGTTATCACTACATGCCCTTGTAAAAAGTCCCTCTCCAGCTTTCATGTAGGTGTCCTTCAGATACAAGAAAGCTTCTATAAGGTCTCCCCCGAGCCTTCTCTTCTCCAGGCTGAACAACCCCAACTCTCTTGGCCTGTCTTCATAGGAGAGGTGTTCCACCCCTCTAATCACCTTTGTGGCCCTCCCTCTGGTCACCCTTGTGACCCACTTCAAAAGGTTTATGTCCTTCTTCTGTTGGGGGCTCCAGAGCTGGACGCAGTATTCCAGGTGGGGTCTCACAAGATGGGGTAGAGGGGCAGAATGACCTCCCTCACCCTGCTGGCCACGCTTCTTTTCACGCAACCCAGGATACGGTTGACTTTCTGGGCTCCATCCATTGTCTGACCAACCTGTATTTGTGCATGGCATTCCCTCATCTACATGCAGGACATGAGATGTTGTCTGGGACAGAACACTGGGAATACTGAACTGGAAGAAGTCACTGTCAGAAATGACTGTCCTTGATTTCTCCTCATGTGAAGTTAAATTTCTATTCATGACCTAGCCTCTAAGTAATAAAGAAGGGATAAGTAGTTCGGAACTAGATGGCAAAAAGCTTTACTGTGATGTAGGTACACAAAAGTTAAAAACCAAATTTGTGACCAAAAGCTATTGATGTTATAGGCCTAACCAGTAAAAAGAGAAACCAATGTAAACTGGTTCTCATGTTCAGTATACTCAGGAAACTACGGTCTTTATTCTCTAGACACTATTACAAAGAGTAATTACAGAAGAAAGTGACTGAGACGTTCACATTTTGTGCATCCCTCAGGTCACTTCTTTGCTGCCTCGTGACATCCTCACTCCTCCTCTTCTATCTTCTTGCCATGAAACTCCCGGCTCTTCACTCGGAGCTTGTTGACCTGTGACTCTGCAATGTCAGCCCGCTCCTCGGCTTCCTCCAGCTCGTGCTGGATCTTGCGGAACTTGGAGAGGTTGACATTGGACAGCTCCTCCTGTGTGGGGACAGGGAGTCGGGGGTGAGGAGCCCGGGGCAGGGGTTTCACTCTTCCTGCGCTTCAGCCTTGTGGGGCTTCGCCTCTTCGCTGGGGGAACACCCAGACCCCCATCCCCCACCCACCACTGCTTACACAGAAGCCTCACATAGACCTCCTCATCCTCTCTTATTCAGGAACCACGGTCACAAGCTTCTCCATTGCTGTATCACTCCTGAGGAGCTATTTTGTCACTTAGATTTGTCATTTGTGTCCCTATTCTCCCACTACTTGCTGCCCAGCTACCAGTGTGATTTCTTAGGCTGAGAAAGACCCTGAAGCTTTCTGCTGTTGATCAGCAGCAGAGGTTCATGAACTTCTCCGCCAGTGGATGTGGCCCCTGGGTTTGTTTAGTCTGACCTCCTGTATAAACCAGGCTGCAGAACTTCCCTCACTTCATCCCTGGCTGCAGGGTGCCCAGAATATAAAGGCCTCATGACATGATAATAAACCGGCGTGGCTCCTTTCCTGGTATTCATACTCATCTCAAAGAGTGTGCTGCCCCGATGGAAGGTGGCTCTTGCCCATTCTCCAAGCGATACTTACAGCCTCCTCAGCTTGTCTCTTGTAGGATTTCACCTTCATTTGCAGCTTGTCCACCAGATCCTGGAGCCTCAGAATATTCTTCCGGTCTTCCTCAGACTAGAGTGGTTGGTAAGCAGGAAAGAGAACAATTTATTGGCTTCCCACCACATGAGGTTAATGATTCCCCTTGGGGGTGGTGTGCACAAAATCCAACTTGCTGTGAGAAAATCCTGTCAGCCCAAGGAGGCCTCCTGCCTTACCTGGTAGGTCAGCTCCTTCACCCTCCTCTCGTACTTGCGCACACCCTTCACGGCTTCAGCGCTGCGCTTCTGCTCAGCATCAACCTCCCCTTCCAGCTCCCGCACCTGCAATGAGAAGCCCATGTTTGGAGCTTCCCTGGTATCTCTCCAAGGGACATGCTCATTCATGCACAAATACCAGCCCTACGCACTCTGGCCTCCAGCTTCTGGATTTGCTTCTTGCCTCCCTTCAGGGCCAACTGCTCAGCCTCATCCAGACGATGCTGCAGGTCCTTCACCGTCTGGTCCAGGTTCTTCTTCATCCTCTCCAGGTGGGCGCTGGTGTCCTGCTCCTTCTTCAGCTCTTCTGCCATCATGGCTGCCTGATGAGAGCAAAGAGTCAAAGATATTTTAGGGCTGGGGACATTTTTGGGGAGAATACATCCACAGTCAGCAATGAAAGGAGCCCCCGACTCACATCTGTGATGGCCTTCTTGGCCTTCTCTTCAGCATTGCGGGCTTCCTGGATCGTATCCTCCATTTCACCCTGAATTTGGGCAATGTCTGTTTCCAGCTTCTTCTTGGTGTTGATCAAGCTGGTGTTCTGT